CCCCCCCCCCCCCCCCCCCGGACCTCGATCAATTCAATCCATGGATGGATTGCTTTGTTGTTCACAACGAGGCGACGGCTCATTCCACGGGGAGAAAACATGGGCTCAGCTTATACTAGACTAAATGAACATGATGGGTATTCAGAACTACCTTATCCTGTATATCAATTCTTCAATAACGTAGTATCGCATTTTAAACATGGCAAGACCGTACTGATGCAATGGGTTGATGTCCCAAGTTGTAGTGTAATCGAGCTGCAAGGCGCAAATTGGACCACCCATGTTCTTTACTAGATAAGAAGACCTCGAAGTAATTCGTCTACTGTAAGTTCCCATACCATGAGAATAACGGCAAGCAATTCACTCTCGAGATCCGAAACCAAATAGTTGTGTGAGACATAAAGGGAATGATAGCACAGCAAAAACCTTACCATAATGACACCAAAGTGACCAGAATTAGTCTCTTTTCAATCGGGATAATCTAATCAGTGAGTGATTCAATCGCTGTTAATATGCGACCGTAGGATGGTGAGCAATCGACGTTTGGAGTTGGAGTCCAGGTCCGGGGGTTGAGGTGCGGGACATCCTTTTACACAATGAGGCGCGACTCGTTCTGCTACCAAGGACAGAGAGCCGGGGAAAACGATTATTCATCAGCTTGGAGCCATATCAGTACCAATTTTGTAGGTTCATATTTTGTGCAACTAACTAATAATAAGCAACCGGTCCATCCAGTTGGAGATTGAGTCGTGATGTTGGTAAGGTCTTGTGGTAAGCCCCTGCCCCACTACCGGGTAATTTGGACAGCAAAAAGCTGACGGGCAGGGTGGAAGTAGAATGAAGAATTGACCTTGAGAAAGTATAAGAGACGAAAATTTAGTCCTTTTATCACAATTTAGAAGGGCATTTAGGCTACTTTTTCTAGTAACCTAAGGATGAAAGGACATTTCTTTTGGTGCCAACCCTGGCAGCTGACGTTAGAGTCGCAAGCCAATCGGCTAATTTTGTCTAGCCTTTGGCTGAGACTAGTGTTACTCCTGGCTAGCGCGAATGACAGATTATTATAAAATCGCTCAACGAGTAAGGGAAATTGAGAGACTTCAGAAACTCAAACATCTGCCAGAATGATAGACCTACCCGACGAGATCTGGCACCAGATATTTGCCAATTTTGAGGACTACATGCCCTTCAAGAATTGGTGGATGTATGGCGCTCAACTCAATCACGAATCTCCTAGAACCTTGTTTTCACTTTCACAAGTATCACGCCGTTTCCGACGCGTTGCACAATCTTTCCTTTTTCGCACTCTTCTTCTTGAAGGAAGTGATGATCAAGTGCTAGTCCAGATGCTTCTCTTGAGAACTTTAAGCGAAGACCCCAAACTAGGTCAACACGTCCGCAATGTTTCCCTTGACGACAGTACAGGAAGTCCCCTTCGGAAGAGTACCACGTTGGCCAACATTCCAGTTGAAAGCATCCTTAGAAAAGCGCTTAGTTCTCTCAACCTCCCACCATCTACTACCAAGTGGCTCGAAAAGTCTATTTCGGATGGGTGCGCCTTTGGGATTCTCGCTATGGCATATATGGCTCAAGCTCAGTTTGTTGATTGCACAGTGGCTCGCGTTGGAAGTCCTTTACCCTTCATGCTCAGCGGACATCTAGGGCTAGAAGATGGTTTGCTGAGTCAACCTCGCGTGGAAGCACAGGTCCAAGAAATCAATCACCAAGACAATGACAAGACAAACGACAAACACCCGTCAATCGTGATGGGGAAGATGCCTAAAACCTACAGCTTCCCCAATCTGACAGAAGTAAGGATAAGGGTAGGAGGCTTCGAAGAGGTTTTGCCCGCCTTTGTGATCGAGCCGATTCTCCTTCACCCCACACTCAAAACACTACGGACCTTTGGCATCGACTGGAGTGGGAATACAAGTAGGCAACTAAGATGGCCTGACCGAGTTTCCAATCTTCGGTGCTTGGATCTGAAGGAGTCTGTCATAGATGCAAACGGCCTGAGGAGCGTCCTCACTCGCTGTCCAATATTGAAGGGCTTGTCGATTCAGTTGGCCAGTTGGAGCAGCGATCAAGATAGAGAAGAGGGTAGCTGGATAGTTGACCTTGATGATTTCGGCAATGTGCTGAGACAGTTTGGACGAGGTTTGGAGGAGTTTGATATCCATACTCTCGGCTACAGTTCTGAACATTCCACCGACGGTAGACTTGGGTTGCTCCAAGCTCTAAGCTCGTTGAAACATCTCAAAACTGACAAAGAGGTACTTCTGGGGCCTGTGACAGATCCAGATGAGGAAGTGGGTTTGCCAGCCTTTCATCTTGGTGAGGCTTTGCCGCCATCTTTGGAAACTCTATACTTGCATTGCGTCAACGATAACTACGGTGAGTACTGGTATGAGAGGAGGCGTCAGATCGTTAACAAAGAAATTCATGACTTGATTATCCAAGACAGACTCCCTGATCTCCGAGAGATACAGGTCGAGCGGTACTATAACGAGACAGGAGAAGGAGAATGGGATCCGGACTTAAAGGTAGAAGGATGGAAAATCAGTGTTCAAAATGAGCATCTTTGGGAGACCTATGATAGTTCGGGGTGTATGCGTACGATCCTGATTCTGTCCAGGAGGATCTAAATGTCGATCAATGAAAACCCTCCTCTTCTTTGAATAGCCTCTATAAAGACATCATTGCCAAGGCCAAGCTATACATTATCACGAACAATGATTCTAACAAACCGACCATGGCGTTGATGGCTTCCAAGATCAACAGGACGGCCTACAATGTCGCGATTCTAAGTAGTGATTTGTTCCTGTTTCCCGCTACAGACTTTGTAAACAAAGAAGCCTTTGAAAGGTGAAAAGCGTTCTGGGAACGAAGTTTAATTGATAACTGGCTCTGAAGCACATTCGGTCATTTCTAGCCTCCCTTGGTTTTGGCGATCTATTACACTGACTGTACAAACTGGGGGTGGTTGTCCTTTGTTGATCGTCGAAGTTTGGTCCTACTTTTGAAGAGGCATGGGAAGGACCTCCCAATAACATTCTCGCTCTTTGATAGTGATTTGTAAGATATCGGGCGACTTGCTACTACAGCAATCTCCAAAGAATATAGATAGGGTTAGTCTGAGCCGGTGACAGCTTAGAAATCACTAAGTCTTGGTGGTAGTATTCAATTATAGTCTTGCTAACGGCGATGTGAGAAATTCCCACTCTATCGTGCAAGTTTGCCAGTGTGTTTAGTTGGGGGTAACAAAGTGTACGGAAAATAAATATTGCAGTTTTTCTAGATTATATCTTTATACTGATAAGTGAATATAGTTGCTAAGCTAAGTCAATCAGTACCGAGTACTTGTTAAGAGCTGATAGTAGAGTTTTAGGGCTAATTGTATTATATAAAGAGTGTGGATATTGAAAAGTGTAAGAATGTGAACAGGGTGACTAATCTTCCAGTCGGCTCAGAATACTATTACGCTCACTTGCACGCTTATCCAGCCTAGAATCGGAAGACGACATGATTGAAAATCTGGTCCTGGACAGGCTTCATCAGGCCATATGACAAATGATCACTGACAAGTTGGCACTTGCACTCGGGGTCAAAGGAGCAAACAATGTCGTTCTAGAGACCCAATGTTAACGAAGATCTATATTGAGACAAGAAATACGCACCTCCAAACAAATGTCAGCAACCTTTCCACTGCGGTCAAGACTCTCGTTAAACGTAGGAATGCTGTCGTTCGACTGCAGAGACTGAATTGTAAATAATCCATTCGCAGTGCGGTTGTCATAGTGGCCTTGGCTGTCCACGTTGGAGAGTCTACCAGGCGTGCGATACGGGTTTCCAACCATTACAATGCTGCTAACAGCGGCCATGCTTGTATGGTTGAGTTCATTCAGCGCTTTTTGAACAACAGTTGCACCCTGAGAGTAGCCGAAGAGGAAGTACTTTTGCTTCGGACAATCCTGGAGGCCATACTTGATGATGTCAGTAACAAACTTTACACCGGCGGTAACATTCTGGTCAGGTCCCGCTGGATAGACGACGGGTTGGCTGACGGCACCGGTGTTGTTGGCCATAATCCGCTCGATAGTGTTCTGGAACATAAGGGAAACACCTTGCGGCTCTCCGGTACCACGGGCATCGAGGAGCTCTAGAACAAGTATTAGTATCTGTCTCAGGTACGGAGGAGGAAGCGAGCGCAACTAACTATAGGCAGCACATGGCTTCAGTTGCTCTGGGGTGGACAAGTTAACCCGGGGGATAGCGAGATAGGCTGGGTCGCCACAGCGGCAGCCGGAATCAGCAGAGGCAACCGCAACGATGCCAGACAGCGTGGACAGAAAGAGGAATGTGGGAGAAACCATAGTAAAGGTTAGTTGTTGTACGCTTTTAGGGGGTGTATAAGGTAGTAAAGGCTGGAAGAAAAGAAGAAAAGATGAAGTTGTTGTTTGGGATAGAAATGAGTTAAGTCTATGACTTTATTTATATTTTAACGTGGAGTACTATCCAGGGAATATACAATTAAGGCTACCATATTTAACTCACATGTAAGAACTAGGGTGGGCCTCGTATATCGGTACGAAGCACTGACCAGTGTCTATGCAAAGTTAATTTGTGGACGGAGGCAAGTGTGTCGCTCTCTCATTGGTCCGATCGCGCACCGGCAATACTTTACGATCATAACCAATCTTCTATGAACTGCAACATAAACATACAAAGCTCAAGGTTCCTCAAGATCATCTTCGTATTTAATCTTTTACGTAAAGAACTTATGTAAATCTGTAGTGTACATCATCCGATTCCTATCTGTAAATGTCAAATTGTTTCTCTAATATTTAGAGCATTAGAGGGGTTCTTTTGGCTCCTCCCCCATGCCTAAGTTTGTGGTTAACCTTTTCAAAATAACTTGCTTTAGCTGAAGTTATCGGTACTGTTGACATTCACTATGACGGATGCTTCTTTCCAAATAACATTCCAGTATAGCAACTGAAAATACAATTGATTAAACTTCATCGTAGACAGCTGACAGCTGGTCGTTAAAGGGCGGTCTTGCGCTTGGATCATTGCAGTTAGCTTTGCAGGAGAAACGTGGTCCCGGACACTTAGTCATCAAAGCAACGCACTTGGTCGGCATTTGGAGTTTTCAACTTACCCTACGGCTTGGGCCAAGTTTTTAACGCGCGTCTTTATTACTGTCGCGACCGGTTCAAGTGAGGGATGCGGCGAGCACACAACAAGACTAGGACAGGCTGCCTGACGTGTAAACGTAGGAGAATTAAGGTTCGATCAATACCCCCCATTAGAACGTGCGCTTACTCATCAATTGCATTTGTAGTGTGATGAGATCAAGCCGCGATGTAGAAACTGCCAGATCCACGGCACCTCTGAATGTTTCTATAAAACGCCAGAAGCCTTACTACTTCCAGGTCAGGGTCTCCAGTCGGCCAACGGTAGCTACATGCTCCAACACCTGGGTCTACTGCATCATTTCACATCCTCTACAGCTCTGACACTCTCTGTCAATCGACAGGTTCAGAACCTCTGGCAGGTCGACATACCACGAATTGGATTCTCTTTCCCCTTTTTGATTCACGCCATTCTGGCCTTATCTTCGATGCACATAGCTCACGAGCTACCTGACCAGAACAAGGCCCGGTGGGCATCGGGCATTGAGCTACAACAGCAGGCTGTGACGGATGCACAAAAAGCATTGGATAATGTTACAACTGAAAATTGCACCGCCGTGTTTCTTTTCTCAGCACTGACATGCATAATCTCGCTTGCACGCGGCTGTGGCCACTCGCCCAAATGTGGACCTGATACCGAGCAGCCAACTGAGATTGGCTGTGAGAGCTTGATTGAATGTGTTGTTCTTTACCGCGGCACGAGACATCTGCTCGGCCCCCCGTACGATCAAGTGTTACATTCAGGTCCATTGAAGCCTATGTTCGAGGTTGGATCTGAACGACGGACACGGCTTCTCGATCCCTTTATGACTCTGGATACAGACCAATCCAGCGCGTGGTCCAAACTGCGGGCGGCGATATACGACCATGTCAAAGATACGGAAAGGCTAGATGTCTATGACAGCACAATCGACCACCTGCGGCGAGCCTTTCGCGCTGTTTATGATAAACCGCTGGAAGAACTGGAAAATATGGACGTCTTTGCCTGGATGTTTGCTATATCAGACAAATACGTGGCTTTGCTCAGGCAACACGATCCGATTGCTCTGGCGTTGTTTGCTTGCTTTGCTGGTCTGGTACGAGAGATGCGCTGTATGTGGTGGACTTACGGCCGGGGTGAATGTTGTATCAATCAGATCTATCACGTGTTGAAGAGACAAGAGGAATGGCTCATTCCATATATTGTGAATATAATAAAGTAATAGTATATATAAAACTTAGTAGGGCTCCAGGACAACTCGAAGTACCCTCGCTACGCTGCATCTGCACTAATTTCCAGTGCTTCTTTGGTGGACCTGTTGGGAAGACCACCCGGCTCTATCCCCGGCTCACCAGCCACGACCCCAGGCGCCACTCCAACATCTTTCTTTCTCCTTCCTCCTACCAAAGCCAATATTCGCCAGCCAAGAAAAGACAAGAGATCAATCTTTCAGGCAACCTATTACTCTACAGTACTTTTGCTTCCCCTTGACTGACGAGACAAGTTGCCGACATCACCGAGAATCAATGTGGCGGGCGGCCTTAGATCCGCTAGCGTCTGTGGATATGCGCTAGTAAATATCAATTGCCCGACTGGCTTACACCAGCGTGATTAGCTGCTCAACTGAATGAGCGCGGCGCGCATTGAACTCGCGCGGACTTCAGTGGCGGTGCTTTACTTCGTTACGGCGATGACAATGATGACCCCACAGCTTCTGACGTCATCCTCCTCGCGGAATCTCTTCTGCAACTTCAGCCTTTCAACATCACCGACCCAACACGCCACGAACAGCCTCTTGCGCTTTTACCGAGGAGAAATCTCGTCCACCGCAGCTACCTCGTCATAAAATTCCGGATTACACTCACGCGAACGAGTCTTGTTTCTCCTTCCTTGAAATAACCGGGAGGTAGTAGGGGCCTGCTCGGATTCGCAGCTCGGCTCGTTTCTGAGGTCGACCTCGCAGCTCGGCTCGGGGTCACAGGTCACCGTGAGCGATACCAGTTTTTCTTCTCGGTGGGCTGCAGAGGCCGTTTCCAGGTACGTCTATGTATTTGTCTTCATGCTAATGAATTTGTACAGTGCCCCTTTTCTCCAGTCCCCATCATGATTGCCATCGACGACGAAGCGGTACCCATCAGTTGGCAGCATCGCACGGTGACACCCTCTCAAGCACCAACAGCCTTGGCTGAGTCCGACTAGCCTCCGCCCGAGTTTGAAAACGATTTCCGCTCAGATGCGGCCGCATCCCGCGCGCCTTTTCAGTTCTTCATTCGAATCGAACTCAAGAATCGTTCACAAGATGGACCCGCCCATGCCGGCACCAATCTCGGAGCCATCAAGACCTTCCAGCTATCATACCGACAGGACTACTATCCTCGCTGCCTGGAGGTTATTCGATCCCGCCGCATGCCCTACACCCTCAGCTTGTCGATGCAGTCAGTGCAAGCTCCAGTTGAGGCAACCCGCTCGATGGGGCGAATGCTCTTTGCATTACTTCGCGAACCGGTCAGTCCAACATCTCCGATAATCTACGTTCCTTATGGTATTCTAACACTCGGACAGCCCGACCTCATCTGAAGTGCCGGCCTTGGTCATCTCACCCATCGCCAAGTGATGATTCCAATGAATCCTTAGGGTTTCTCAGAAAAGACATAACCTCGAACTTAGAGTGGGGAAATATTGGGTTCTGCTAGCTGAACCATCGTCTCCAGCCTATCTCGACTATCCAGTCATCATTGTTGACGTCGTCACCCCATGCCACAATACCCCGTGCCGCTCTGCAGTCAACTCAAGGCATGATAGACATCTTCTGAGCACCATCCAGTATGAACCACTGATAACAACAGCAGTCGGGATAACCGTGATCTATCGTTTGTTATCTGTGTAGAGTAAAGTTATGTAACTGTTTCCCTTTTTACTTGTGCTGGTAGGGGCGTACCTTCTTCGGTTCTAGTGCAGTTTACTACGTGAGATAGGCAAAGAAACGATAAACAGCATGTATTCTCACCTCTAGAGTCTAGCCTCATGAATGCTGGTTTGGTCCGAACAATTCTGAAGGCGTAACTATTGACCTGGCAGTGAGAGCTGTAGAAATGATATAATCTTGGTGTCACTGTTTATGTGATTCATGTATCAGAGCGAGCATTTTATATGTATGAATATTGATAGCGGTGCAACTTAGTTTTAGAGATCTACATCAATTTAATAACCGTTTAGAACTTTCCACTATCCCAGGTTCGGAGGTCTACATATTCAATTAATATATGATTTACACCTTATTCAAATGGCAGAACCTGACTTACCCTGGACTGCCATTGGTCCTTTGACCAGCCCGGTGATAGTCGGTTACATTCCGTTGGTAAAATGAAAAACAAACATCAGTTCCTCGACTTCATCCACTGAAGCAGAAGAAAAATCCATGAAGCTTCATCAGATAAAAGAATATTCAGGGCATCAATTAACTGAAAAGATTGGCCTTGACATCGAAGATATCCAATGAAGGTGAAAGAATTAGTTAAAAAACTCTGAGTATCGTTATTGAAGGCAATTGAGTTGTCCGTAATCACAGGGTTCTCAGCTGAAATCAGAATGCCACCGCCGCCAACGTGCAGGGTATCAATGTCAGTAATAGTTTTGTCATCCGCATTTCCGTTGGTTGCGGTTTGGGAAATCCTCGTATTATAGCTGACCCTGCTGGGTAATGACGATAGACGTACTGCCATTGGCTGGTGTCTTGGATATTCGTGTTCTGGTCTAGGTTCTACCAATCGTGAACGAGCCCAAGTTGTCGCTAATGCCCCACATTCAGAATGGAATAAGCCATGTTGAAATTTTACACAACCTCCGCACTGACTTGAACATTCTCCGCGTGGGGTAGTATCCATCATAGATGTAACAAGGACGGCATCGGAATGACGATCGGACCTGACAATTAGAAATGTATACAACTACCGATTCCGGTAGCCTGGAAGGATGATGGGGCATTGTGCCGATCTTTCAGGCGGTTCTACGATCAGCACGGTCAATTACTTGTTATAGTATTTCTCTCGAGCGGTGCGTAGAGTTGGATCTAGATCCTAGATATCGCTATGACATCGAAGGAGGCCAGGTCCCGGCTTGCTTGATTTGGTATAGAGACGACTTTGATATACGTCTGAAGGAATATTCATGTGTTGAAAGAAGAACTATAAAATGTGCTGACATCGCTGCCTTCTTGCTTGAGATAGACAACCACTCACAACCTCATTTAACAACTTTTTGAGCAAATAAACCAAATCAATCATGACGTTCAAGGCCCTGTTTCTCACTGCTGCAATGGCCAGCTCCGCCCTCGCCGCCAACAACCTCAATTTCATCTACTCCCGCGGAGACTTCGCAACAGGCGGTCCAGGCGGCACCCAAACCGGCCACACCAGCGGCCTGACCATCACCGACAACACGGGAAAGGAACTTTACAGCGAGTCCTACCCCGGCAATGCATCTCCCTGTGCCAACCCTAACATGGAGCTCAAGATCACTTCGTCTTGTTGGGATGGAGAGTTTTCCTTCAACTGCGCTGCTAGTGCCTTTGGAAGAATCAATGGCTGTGAAGTCAAGGCTGGAGATAACAAGTTCCCTGGAAAGGTTGACTCTGATGAGAACTTTACTGGCATCTCGGTTTCGGTTCAGGATATCTGTGGTGGTGGGTTTGCGACTGGTGGGGATTGTGGGGATGGAGCTACTTTCGAGATTGCGTCTCATAACCCTTAAGCGCAGATTCTTATAGACTATTGGAATAGTTATACGTAGCTACATTCAGCTTTCTAACTGCATACAGATCCCAAGTCGATCTACACAGCACTAAAATCCGTGAACATTGCTATCCTTGGTCCACCTTCTGAACGTCTTGCCATAGAAGTAGAATGCCCCACCCAAGCCGCACCACAGAACTGTCAGGCCCATGTTGGTCATGAAAACAGGGATAAATCTAAAGAAGCTGTAAGCAACGGACTTTGAACAGATATCACAGATCACTTACCCTGATTTGATAGTCCATGGCGTGACGAACTTGCCCATACCATATCCCCAAAGACTCTTGTTGACAGTAATAGCAACGAAGAGTGACCCGGTCACTGGCTTATAACAATCCACTGCGTAGGTACTTGCGATACTGGGTAGAGCAGCGACCTGAATGCCAGCAGATGAGTAGCCGAGGACGGCTATGACCGGCCATGGCCAATGTCTTTCGTACCCGATTGAGGTAATTACGTTGCCGAAGATCATGATGATGACATAGGGTATCATTGCAGGGAGACGCATTTCTGGTTCTCGAATGCCGCCGTTTCGCGTTGTTGCCTTTGCTGAGACCCAGTCGCTGAAGGGGCCAGCTGTGACGAGTCCGATCAAAGCGCCGACAAGGATGGAAAAGTTGAGGAAGCCTGCCCCTGTTAGAACATAGGTACCCCTTGTTTGTGACATCCAAGAACTCACCGATGGATTGAGGACTCATGTTGTATGGGGGAGCTGCAAATACTTGCGACTGAGTGAGGTTCAGAATTAGGAAGTTACTGCAACTCCAGCTGACCACGAAGGAAGCAAAGAGTACGATTGAAAGATGAAGAGTTTCCACGGGGTCCAAATATCGAGAATCATGCTTTTGAGAGGTGCTGAGTTGGGTTGGAAGAGTTGCCACTGTAACTTTGATGGTGTTCCTCTATTCAAATGCGCGTCCGTGGCGAATTCACCTTGAGCTTGAGGTGTCCCGACAGCCTTCTCAGCATCGGCCTGATAGTGCGACGGCTTGTCCCGAGTTGAATGATCGATCCCATTGACGCCACCCTGAGCTTCGATGGAGTCGATTCGCGTCCACTTCGTCTCAGGAAAGCCAAATATTCCAAGTATGATTGACAGTGCAGTAACAGCAACGTTGAGCCACCAGAAGTTCTTCCATCCAGTGCGGTCTGCCATGGGACCAGCGATGATTGGTGCGATCATCAGTGACCCCATGTAGACAACCCAGTATAGCGCATTCCATGTTCCCCGATCGTGGAGGAAGAAGATATCGGCGATGACTGCGGGTTGGAGAATCTCTGAGGGGCCGGCTCCTATCCCGTTGAGGCTGGACATGTTAGTCGACAGAGTGGGAGATTTCTCGAGGTCAACTTACACACAGGCTCCCATGAACATGCCGTAGGTGGATGCTTTGGCGCGAATGATGTGGCATGCAAGGCAGATCACCTGCGAGGCGAGGTACACTGGCCGACGACCAAATGATGTAGAGATAGGTGCCCTCCGAAAGTCAGTCTTGGTATCGACTCCGCAGTACTCCATGCTCACCAGAAGAAGTTGCTGAATCCCAGAATTAGGATAGTAACGCCCGTAAACTGGATGACATCCTCCAGTGTACTATCATAAGCACGAATCAAGTCAGGAAACATCGGCGCAAGAGCAAGCGGCGCAAAGCCCTGCGTAAACGTCATGGTCGAAACGCAAAAGATGGCAGAGAACTTCCAAAAGGGCGACCAGTTGAGGGGGTCGTGAGGATCTTGAGATGGTTGGGGAACGAGGACTTGATCGGACTCTTTGGCTCGAACGTAATGTTCTTTGCCAATATCTGTCATGATCTCCGTTCCAGGGAGGACTTCGATGTGAAGCTCATCCTGGATAGTTTCGCGAGCCTGTAGAAATTAGGGGAAGTCATCTGGACTTAAGATGCTGCTAACCTCTTGAGTAGGCATTCTTGCGGTGTTGCGTTGGTCTTGTGCGGTTGCGCGAGTCTCAATACTCTGAGGCACCACTATCTTCCCTCTCCATCCCCGTCTATTTATCTCAACTCATTTCATGGTTCTTGTTCATCTTCAGAGCCTCGATAATTCCATTTCCAATGTCCTCAAAGACCTCGGGTGACTTATCTAAGTTAGATCACTCCTTTGTCTGCAAGAACGTATAAGACTCAGCGCCCGCAATGTCTCGGTAGAGCCATCGGCAAATGAAGGGCAAGGATTAGTGAGGAGGATCTTCTGGTAATCTACTTAGTTACCATCGGCGGGATGGGCCCGAATGAGATAGTTTGCGGGGGAGTTGGCGGGGTATTAGAGTTTACAGAGTAGTTAGCGTCGGTAGTTGGTTACTCAATCAAGTGAGGGCATACCAGGCCTTTTAGACCATTGAATCTAAGCGAGCTTGCTGTTAGGTTCCCCTCTCATATTCTTCATTCATCTACGCATCAACTCACTGTCCAGTCCTCATATCAGGTTCTTTTTAGTTATTGATAATAAGTGCACAAGTACAAGTCCCTAGGAGGCTTGGAGATTATTTGTCTTTCGGTTTTGTGACTAATGTTGCAAAACGCTTACATACTAACCATGGATCAGAAGATGCTATCTATTTCTAGAATGGTGTTCAAAGTTGCATCTTCACATCGGCCATCCCACATCCTAAGATCCTGGTGTATCTTAAATAGTCTCCATCAGCAATGCGTAAGCAGCGTCGTCAAGGTCACACGTATCCCTTAAGGAGCCCAACAGCTTGTATCGTCACTGTGAATGACAAACTGATCGCCAATAAGCCCTATGAGCGTTGCATTCAACCTAATACATCTGTGCTCTTTGCTTGTCTTAGCCCGTCGCCCATCGAATAGTTCTCTATTGGTACCGCCATGGATATGTCACGGCGTGAATGGTAAGCCGCGAGGAAGCCTCGGTCAAAGTTTTGTGGTTCAGGATCCGTAAAGAATCCGTGGCGATTGTGCCCAAAATACGAATGTGGCAGGTCTTATATCTTGGCCTCCGTAATTTGTCAACTCCTTCTATCTACTTGTCCCAAGTCTCTTCGTTTCAAATGAGGCAAGACCATTCTCCAACTCCCGTGACGAGTTTCTTGAGACGCTGCATACTTAACCTCTATTCCGATAGCACATGATGCCGTTCTCTTCTGTACAAGACTCATGACTCACGATAACCTTGGTT